TGAATTTCTTTCTTGGTTGACAAATAAAACAAACTTATGAAGGTACTTTTTTAAATCAAGCAAAGTACACTAAGGATTTATTAAAAAGATTTGGGATGGAAGATTGTAAACCAATAAGCACTCCAATGTATACTTTAATTAAGCTTGATAAAGATGAAAAAAGTTAGAAGTTCGAACAAAAACAATATAGAGGTATCATTGAAAGTTTACGTTATCTTACGGCAAGTGGACTGGACATTATGCAAGTTGTATGTTTGTGTGTTAGATTCAAGTTGATCCTAAAGAATCTCATTTGATTGCAGTTAAAAGAATTTCAAGATACTTGAAAGGGAACATGGCTTGTAGTACCCTAAAAAAGACTTAATCGGATTTTCGGATGCCGATTTTGTCGATTGCCTAGCTAATAAACAAATCTACAGTTGATACATATCAATTTTTAGGCAATTGTTTGGTATCATGGTTTAGTAAGAAATAATAATCTGTCTCTTCATCTACATCAGATCAGAATATTACGCCGTTGGTAATTGTTGCACTCAAATATTGTGGATGAAACATATTGGTTGATTTTATTTTTATTTTTTCTAATGTGTACCTATGAAGTGTGATAATACTAGTATAATTAATTTAACCAAAAATTCCATCCAACATTTAAGAACAGAGCATGTTGATATTAGACATCATTTTATTAGAGATTTAGTCCAAAATAATAAAATTTTATTAGAGCATATTCCTATAAAAAAACAAATAACTGATATTTTTACAAAATCTTGACCTAGAGATCAATTTGAATATTTGAGGAATAAATTGAATGTTTTGGTATTAATGAGGACAATAATTCTTAAGGAACCAAAGGCACATTGTGTACCACTATTTTTTTTTCAAAAAAAAAAAAACCACCCAGTGGATCCCACTTAAATATGAGTAAAACCCCCCCTTACATTCCCTTAAATGTGGGTACTACTACTTTTATTTTCAGGGAGGAAGATAAGATGGAAAGAACAAATTTTCGGTAACATCTACAAATTGCCTATTCTTAAACTCTCTTACATTATCTTTCTACATGTATTTTATTTTGTTAAAACCTCAAATTTTTTAGTGATGACAAAAAGGGGAGAAAAATATTATAATCTTTTATTAATTTATCTACTATGAGGGAGTTCTTTTATTCAAAGATAAGCCACAAATTAAAGGGGAGTTTTAGCAAACTCGAAAGTTTGAAAAGTACTATTGATTGTATGGTTGAACTTTACTTTGAATATTCATTTTCTTAAATCACATATTTGTTTTGTCATCATGAAAATGGCGAGATTGAAAAACCTAGATAATGATTAGATGTTTTGATGATGAAACATAATTAAGTGTTTTATGATGAAATAAATTTGTGATATAGCTAATAATTTGAGAAGTGTTGACATTGGTAGAAGTAAAAGTTCAACTCGTCAAAATTTTCAAAATCAATTATTGAATTTCAACAGACATATCTTTATGTGAAAAATCATGAACTTGAATGTTCTAAAAAGGTCTTTGAAATATCTACGACTTCGACATTTTGAGTTTTTGCAAATACAGTTGTTATCACGTCCAAGATCAAACAAACTCGAAAGGTTATACATAAATTCACTAGAATGATGTATTTCGATAAAACTAGCATATCTGGAGGTATAAACATCTGATTTAGGTGGTTTCTTTTGCATTAGATTGCTGACAAATAAGGCTATAACTTTGTTGAAGACACAAAAGTCTAATTACGGCAGCAACATGCTTAAAGATATCAAAAAGTTCAAATCAAATTCTAGGCTAGACATCAGGATTAATTTACTTTGACTTATGGAGCTTCAATTGTATTCCTTGATCTATAAAAGGCAACATGAACGTGCAAAGAGACTCAATTCACTCCAAACCTTCTCAAGCTATGCTATTTTCATATTCAAACTCTCTCCAAGCTTTCTATATTGAAAATGCATTAGACTTGAGAGTTGTTATTTTTTTAGAGTTGGTTTTTCAAGTGAGGTACATTTGCACACATTGCGTTTGAGCTTAAACTTGTATTTGGCACTTTGTGTCATTCATTCTCATCTTGTAAACATAGATTCTCTAGGTTTGGCAATCTAGGATAGGAGTGAAATCCTAAACTTTCTCACATAGGTGGTGAAGTGAAGTTTGGGTAAATGAAGGAACAAAAAGTGATCTTGACTTGATAGCTATTTGAGATAAAATCTTTTGGTTGTTTATGTTGAAAACAGATTGCACTCGCACATTCACTTAGATTTATTCAATGTGAAGGATTCAAGTGATTGAGTATTGGGTTGAGTCTATTTGTTTGTAAGGATTTAGATTTCACTCGAAGGAATTCTTGAGTTTATTTTTGGAGATTTAAGAAGGGGGCCCAAGGTAGAACTTGGGGTGGATTAGAGTTTTCTCTCTAGGAAAACTTAAACCACTTGAAAATTTTCATTGTGTTTTGTCCATTTTTATCTTGTATTCCATTTTAGCATAATAACACGTAATCTAATCTAGCAATCATTCTCATCATCTTGCATTTTATTTTGTCTAACCTAATACATTTATCTTATATATTTATTTCTCGAGGAGTCAAGCAAATACCCTCTTACAATTTAAATTAGGATCAAATCCCGGTCGATAAAGTGTGCCAAATTAATTTACTCTTCGATGAGTTTTACAAAGACCCTCTTTATTCTTTTGTGTTTATATTTAATTGAGGGTCGGTAAAATTTTTCAAATTAATTTACTTTCCGAGGTGTCCTATAAAGACCCTCTTTATTTTCTTGCAATCATATTTACTTGTGGGGTAACTCATCCCATAACATATATTGCACTTTTTCGTTTATTTTACTGTGCTAACCATTGTTTTTTCGTGTTTTTGTTTCTTAAAAATTACATTATTTTATAAGAAAATTGTTGAGAACCTTACTCAGCCCCTTCAAGATTGCCGACCTCAATTTCATTAAGTCTTAATCACTGCTTCTTATATCTTTTTTTTCTTATTATTTAAATTGAGAGATGTCCGTCAAATACTGTCTTAAATTTCTCTAAAAGAAAGAAAAAAAGATTAATAATCAATACCTCTATTTCCTCTATGATCGAAACAAATAACCTAATCTAATTTTTCCAAATCATAAAACCAACAAAATTAATTTTACTAAACTAACCCTCAAGGAAAAGTGAGAGAAAACCTCTATTACATGAACCGGAGAAAAAAACTTTGAAGAAATTAACCTTCCACTAATCAACGAGTGACTATGTAATTGGAGGTAGGATTCTACGGCAAAACGAATGGGATCGACGGTCATAGGATTGCTCTATTGTGGTCAAAGATTTTGTGTTTGGATTGGGGAGGCCACAGAGGTTTTTCTTTTTCTATTTTTTTCCCTCAGAATTAATAATAAAATTTGGGAATATGCCAATTGGTAAGATATATTTTCTTTCCAACTCATGACTACTTATAAATGATTTTTTTTTCCTGAGGTACAATTTATTTTCATGAAACTAGCTACTAAGCTTTTTAAACTGCCTCAACAAAGTATTATATCATGATACATTCTTTTTAAGTGTGATAGTAAATTTTATAAAAGGTAGTAACAAAAACATTTCACAACTTCGTATTTCTTAAGACCTGAATAATAGTGTTTTAACTTGACGGAGTTTTATAATAGTGCCTTCATCAACATATCCACATAGTTTCTCTACCATCATGTGATAGAGAGATACCATTATGACATATATCTGAATCTGCAACATGCAACTTATCCATATAATTTTACGTCATCTATCTAATAGTAAATTTATCTAATAATTCCATTTAATATTTCTAATTGCCTCTTAAATGTGTTAAAATAAAAATCCGTATTGATGCTAGTGGTGGTGTAAGTGGCATAGCTGGTGGCGAGAGAAACGAAAAGCATTATTTGAAATATTGCAGGTGATGGTGAAGTGATATTGCAACAATGATTTTAGCAGTTGTTGGCATAGTTAGATAGGTGGCGAAGTGATAATGGTCCACTTAATGATATTATAGAAATGGATGATGAGACGACTTTGGAACTTATAGTCACTAGGAGTTTTTGAAGAATGTGTCATGACATTATTTGAAGTATGGATGTCATGAGGTCAATAGGATGTATTGGTCTGTGAAATTTCAATATCATGTCATATATTATGCGGCGAGAATAAGTCGGGAGTTTTCATTTACAAAATGTAATAGTTTAGAATATTAGATTTTGGCCTCTTTCATTGTAAAAAAAAAGAGATGAAAAGCAGATTAATTTATTGATGAAGATAACGTTAATGTTTATAGATTTGTTTTTATATTTATAGATTAAAAAAACCAATTAGTAAGGAATAGGTGTTAGTTATATATGTAGTATTTAGTAAAATTTAAAGTTGGCCCAAGGGTAAAAAAGATGATGAAAAAGTGGTGGGTTTAGAGTTTCGGCGTTACACGTATAAAATCAAGTTGCATTTAGTAATGTTTTAAATATTTTTTACTCCGATAATTCTCAAGTTACCATGTTATAGAATGTACATATACAACGAAGACCATACCCTAAAACATATACAAACTTCTCGAGAATTATAATAACTTCGGTTGAAACTGGAAACCCGTCAGCTGCATCAAAAGGCCCCTTATTTCAATTAGGAGCTTCGCGATAAACAAGAACTATCGACCCTATACCCATATTCAAATCGCAGTGGTAGAGGAGGTACGGGTTTTCGTATATCTTTTTCTTTTTGGATTTGGAATTGTTTAATTCGGAGATGGTTTTTGATAGTGTTTATTTGTTAGATCTTTAAATGTTCTGGGGATTGTTAAATGAACTGTTATTGTGTTATTGTAATCTGATTTTGGGTTTTTGTGGTTTTTTTTTCCTTATTTTTTGCTGCTTTGTTAAGGTTTTGGGAGAAAACGTTGTGGGATTTTTGTGCCGGGGAAGTTGGGGCGTTTTCTGGTAGTCAATATTTGATTCGGCCGCCGTGTTCAGATGGGTAAGAAGAAAACTAGTGCCCGGGATGATGAGTTTGCCACCACGGGCGGAGTAGCACAGGGTGGTGGGAAGTCTAAGAAGAAGAATTTAGTGATTGATGATGACGAATATTCAATTGCGACTGAGGTGTCTGAGGAGGCCGTTCTCCAGGAGGAGAAACCGGCACCTGGCGGTGGTGCTGGTGCTAAGAAGAAAGGTAAGAAGGGTAATTCAAAGAAGTTACAGTCTAAAGATGACGAGGATGATGATGACCTGCTGGAACCTAAAATTGGTAACTATGAAGATGATGCGGGGGCTGCAGTTAAGTTTGCTGGTAAAAAGAAGGGGAAAGGAAAGCAGTTTAGTTCATCAAGTTTTGGTTTATTAGGCGAAAATGATATTGAAGACGAGGATTCAGTATTAACTCAGGACAGAGATGGTGAGGGTGCGGTAAGCGAGGATGATGGGGAGGATGTAATTGCACTTACAGGTAAAAAAAAGCCTTCAAAATCAAAGAAGGGTGCCGGAAAAAGTTTATTCAGTTCTTCGGTATTTGATGTGATTGGTGATGAGGATGACGAAGCTGGTGAAGGTTCAGTCTCTAAGAAGCTGTCTGATGAAGATGATGAGCCAATCATTGAGTTTTCAGGAAAGAAAAAGCCTTCAAAGTCTGGTAAGAAGGGTGGAGCCAAAGGGCTTCCTGGATCTAGTTTTGATGCGCTTGATGAAGGAGAGAGTAAAGATGAGAGTAAAGATGAAGATGATGACATTGCTTCTATCACCTTCACAGGAAAGAAAAAGAAGTCTTCAAAGTCCTCGAAAAAAAGCGATGTTAATTCGTATAATGCTGTTCTTCTGGACGAAGAAACAAGTGAAACTGCTTCTATCTCTAGAGCAGCAGATGAAACAGCTGCAGATGACAATGGCTTTATGGATGATGACATATCTGTGGTTACATTTTCTGGGAAGAAAAAGTCTTCTAAAAAGAAAAGTAATAATGCTGTTACAGCCCCTGGTGCAGAGTCTGGGAATGATATGTCTCAGGTAGATGAATTTGATCAGCCTAGTAGTAGTGCAAGCACCAAGCAAATTTCTGAAGATGTTGCAGAAACTTCAAAAAGCAAGAAGAAAAAAAAGAAGAGTGGAAGAACTGCTCAAGAGGAAGATGATCTAGACAAGATTCTTGCCGAGCTTGGAGAAGCACCGCCTGCATCAAAACCTTCTCCATCTTCTATTCCAGTTCCGCCAGAGCAAACTCACGAGGAGAAAGTTTCATCTCAACTTGAGCCTGATGAAGTTGCAGGTCAGCTTTGTCTTTCCTGATACTGGAGGATTTGTGTTTGTGATATACATAGGAACTTCATGATAATATTTATTCTTAAAACACATATAACATCTTCCTAAGCATGTTGAGATCCATAAAAAATTAATTATGAATCGGACCATAAGCTTTTCGTATCATTGACTATGTACTTCTTTACTTCCTTAATTATCTTGTACTGTTTTTCCCTTCTTCTATATCTATATTTTTCTTTCCACTAAGTCAAAATTTAAGTAATATAGCTAACAGTTTGTAGATATTCGTGGTTATTGTTTTCTCGAAGATGTGAAGTGTAACCCTTCACTGAAATTATTTTGGCTTAAAACCTTGCACTTGAGCATGAATCAGTGTTATCGTTTAAGTTTAAGGAATTAGTGTAAGTTATCAAAATGTTGTTGGATATCATGCTTATATTACCCTTACTCTACTTGCATTTAGAGTTTCTGATTATGATTATGTTACCCTCACCTCTACTTGCTGCTCAGTGGCAGTCTGTAAGTGGAGAGGGAATAATAGAGTGCAAAAAAGGTTGCTCGTGGTGACATCGGGAATGTGGGGGGATGTTAATGGTCTTTTAGGGAGCTAGCCTAAGGGTGTGTGAGTAAAAAATAGTGTCCCAGCACAAACGAAATGGGCTGTATTTGCGTTGATTGTGGTGTGCCAGAATTTGAAGTAAATGTGCACGATGTTACTTCATCAGAAGAAATGCATAACAATATAATTTTAGTGCTCTTTATGTGGTTATCTAATATCATATTTTTGCTCTTCCCTCAGTTTACTTATTTTGACTTAAACTAATTGGTTTGTTGCTATGCAGGTGAAAAGGAAGCTGAGGAAGGACCTGTGGAGTCTGCTGCAGCTAAGAAGAAGAAAAAGAAGAAGGAAAAAGAGAAAGAAAAAAAGGCAGCTGCAGCGGCTGCGACAGCAGAAGAGAAACCCGAAGAGAACAAGAATGATACAAAAGCCAAAGTAACAGACAAGAAAGTCCCTAAGCATGTCAGGGAGATGCAAGAAAAACTTGCGAGACTTAAAGAAGCTGAAGAGAAGAAAAGAAGAGAAGAAGAAGAGAAGTTAAGGAAAGAAGAAGAAGAGCGGCGTAAGCAAGAAGAAGCTGCAGAGAAAGAAGCAGAAAAGAAACGCTTGAAGAAAGAAAAGGAAAAGGAAAAGATCTTGCGGAAAAAGCAAGAGGGTACGTTTTTGACTGGAAAGCAGAAGGAAGAAGCTCGTCGATTAGAGGCTATGAGGAAACAGATACTTGCCAATGGGAGCTTGCCACTTCCTGGTGGGGATGCTAATGCGCAACCCACGAAACGGCCCATTTATAAGAATAGTAAAAAGTCAAAGGCAACTGCTCAAGCTAATGGTGCAGCTGTGGTGGAGGCTGCTGAAAGTGAAGAAATCAAACAACAGGAAATGACATCTCAATTGGAATCTGTTGAAACAGAGCAGGCTAAGGAAGTGAAAGTTGAGGATGTTAGTACGCCAGAAGTAGTTGATGTGGTGGAGGAGAATGCGGTTGAAGAAGAAGCACCTGATGATGATGATGATGAAGAAGAATGGGATGCCAAAAGTTGGGATGATGCTGATCTCAAACTTCCTGGCAAAGGTGCGTTTTCTGATGAGGAGATTGATTCTGAGCCTGAACCTGTTGTGAAAAAGGAAGTGAAGACTGTGCGAGGAGCTGAGCATGATGCTGGTCTTCCTTTGGCAGCAAAGCCAGATGCTGCAACCTTGAAATCTCAGAATCCTGAGGGTGAGATTGTGGACAAATCGAAACGGCGTGTTCCTCCAGTTAAAAAGGAAGCTCCAAAACCTGCCCCCACCCAGGGTGAAAAGAATCTCCGCTCACCAATTTGCTGCATTATGGGTCATGTCGATACCGGCAAAACCAAGTTACTTGATTGCATACGTGGGACCAATGTTCAGGAAGGCGAAGCTGGGGGTATTACTCAGCAAATTGGTGCAACATATTTCCCAGCAGAGAATATACGAGACCGAACCAAGGAACTAAAAGCCGATGCAAAGTTGAATGTCCCTGGTTTGTTGGTAATTGACACTCCTGGACACGAGTCCTTCACCAATTTACGTTCTCGTGGCTCAGGTTTATGTGATATTGCGATCCTTGTTGTGGATATTATGCATGGGTTGGAGCCTCAAACAATTGAATCACTTAATCTTTTGAGGATGCGGAACACTGAATTCATTATTGCGCTGAATAAGGTGTGTTGTTATGAATGTTTCATGTGACATGGCTTCAGTTATATCCAGTTGTCTTGGTGAAATTTGTTACTGGTCTGTTTGTAGGTGGATAGACTCTACGGTTGGAAAGCACACCGCAATGCACCAATTATGAAGACAATGAAGCAACAGTCAAAAGATGTTCAAATTGAATTCAATACGAGGCTTACCCAGGTTCCGTATGAAAGCGGTCTCTATAAATATTTCTGCACTTCCTTTTTTTGCTGTACTTAGTAGTTCTGTAAACTCTGTTTTTACAGATTATAACCCAGTTTATGGAGCAAGGGATAAACACTGAACTATATTATAAAAATAAAGAAATGGGAGAGACTTTTAGCATCGTCCCTACTAGTGCCATCAGGTTTTCATTGTTTCTTCCTAAAACATTCCTGCTCCTCTATCCAACCTACTCAAATTGTTTTTGGTCCTGACAATAATTTTTTGTGATCGATAGTGGTGAAGGGATTCCAGATTTGTTACTTCTACTTGTGCAATGGGCTCAGAAGACAATGGTTGAGAAACTTACTTATCAAAATGAAGTTCAGGTATCCTTTCTTGTGTGATGTTGTGGAGGTTAGGTTGTTTGCATGATTGCATCTAGTAGATGGTTTTGATTGTCTAATGATTCTCCCCCTCTTTGGTTGGCAGTGTACTGTTTTGGAAGTTAAGGTTGTTGAGGGACATGGAACAACCATTGATGTGGTCTTAGTCAATGGTGTTCTTCATGAAGGAGATCAAATTGTTGTATGCGGCATGCAGGCAAGCTTGCTATCAGTTGCTGTTTTGCTCATATTATTTGCCCCATTCCTTTTGGACCTGGTTGATGTCTTACTCCTATTTTTGCTTGTGTCTTTTAGGGTCCTATTGTAACTACAATTCGAGCGCTACTGACCCCCCATCCAATGAAGGAACTCCGTGTGAAGGTATAATTAAGATCCCTAAACTCCTGAATGTAGGTAGGAGGAAAATTTCTAATCTCCATGGGATCTTTTAGCTCACCTCTGGGACAAAAGGATCATCTGTTATCACATTTTTGTGATCCTAGCCTTCATTAACGTGTCCACTCCAACCCCTTCTCTTTTTCTTTTTCTTCTTCTTCTTCTTCTTCCGTCTGCTGCGTGATTCTGTGTTGATGGCCCTTGAATCTGACTTTAAACTTTCCCTGTGTTGACTTCTCTTTCATTTAGCTATGTAATGTATGATCTTTGTTTCATCCCCCCATTTCAAGCTCTTTGATGTTAGCACACCCCTCCCGGTCCACTCCTCCCATTTGTTTTGTGTTTAAATTTCTTAATCAATGTTATGGTGGTTCTTGGTGCATTTAAACAAGTATTCAACACTAAAATGATATGTGAATTATGTAATAACCTTAAGTGAAAGGACATGCAAGATTCTGATTACTGATTAGCGAAGATAATTATAATAAAAAAAATAATAAGAGAAAAATTCTCATGAGCAAGATATTGTAACTTCTGAGTCAAGGAGTTCATGTGAATCTAAAAGGATCAAGATTGTCTTTCCTTTTTGATCTGTTCTTGAGACCTGTGCTTGAGTGTGTTTATTGAAGAAAATGGGAAGGATAGAGTATGATTGTAATATTAGGCTAGACGAACTATAACTGATCCTTGTGGATATGCGTCGACTTTGGAAGCTCTGATTTTCTCACATGCTTATGTATTAAGGCTCAAATGGGCCATTCTAGTTTAGCTGTTGAAAATTGTTCTGTTGCAGTGTTATGAAGAACAAACTTCTGTCCTACTGAACCATACCTTGTCTCCTTCCTATTATTTTATTGTTATCAGTACTGTGAGTGTAAACAGATCATGTGCCACTCTAGCTTCTTTATGAAAGTAAAGACTTATGTTGCGATTTGTGATCCATACAATATAGCCTACCCCTGTTGCGTCTATTACCTAACTTGTGCTGGTTCACATTTCTTGTAAACTAGCTTTTGGTTGCTCAGTTTTTGTATAGTGCTGATATTTGATGCTTATCTAATGCAGGGAACTTATTTGCATCACAAAGAAATCAAGGCTGCACAGGGTATTAAGATTACTGCTCAGGTAAATTGTCTTCTGAAAGTGTTTTGGTTAGTGTTTAACATTTAGAGAGTAATCCTCAAGCTCTTTTAGGTCATTGAAATTGAATTGTGAAATTTGCATAGCTACTTAATTGGTTCCTCAATTTGATATGGCGTTATTAGTTTTGATCAGTCCTTGTTGGTGCATAGTATCTGTATCCTTAGAAGTTGGTTCTTAATTTGGCGTCCGCATAGAGTTGCAGTCATCGTTATTAATTGTGTAAAATGGGTACACCATCCCCAGGTTTGGGAGTTGTGCTAGAATCCAGATTACATGTGGGCGATATGCTGCTACATGTGTATTGAGCCATCTCTGTGGCTGCCTTCTATATGATCTGCTTGGATCAACAAAGCTAGTTCTCCACAGCATATAGTATTCCATAAATAAACTATTTTTATTGTGTCTTCCCTTTTGTAGGGACTCGAACATGCTATTGCTGGTACTGGGCTGTATGTTGTGGGACCAAATGACGATTTAGATGATATCAAAGAATCAGCCATGGAGGATATGAGGTCGGTTATGAACAGAATTGACAAAAGTGGCGAAGGAGTTTATGTTCAAGCATCTACTCTGGGTTCATTGGAAGCACTGCTGGAGTTCTTAAAGACTCCTGCGGTGAATATACCTGTCAGCGGTATAGGCATTGGCCCCGTCCATAAGAAAGATATAATGAAAGCGAGTGTCATGCTCGAGAAGAAGAAAGAGTATGCTACAGTTTTGGCATTTGATGTTAGGGTAACACCAGAGGCTCGGGAACTTGCAGATGAACTCGGGGTAAAGATATTCTGTGCAGATATTATCTATCATTTGTTCGATCAGTTTAAGGCCTACATCGATAATCTGAAGGAGGAGAAGAAAAAGGAAGCTGCTGAAGATGCTGTCTTCCCTTGTATTCTTAAGATTATACCAAATTGCGTTTTCAACAAGAAAGATCCGATTGTTTTGGGCGTTGACGTCCTTGACGGCATTGCTAAGGTATCATTTTAATCGTTTTTTGTCTAAGTAATATAAGGAATATTTCAAATGCTAGAGGTTGTGACAAATGTTTGTGACTTGTAAAGTCTCATCATGGTGTTGGTTTTCATTTAATTTAGTGTTTGTTGATCGTCCTATTTCATCTTTGTTTTACCGTTCGTGATTCTTAGCCTTATTTCTGTTGGTTTTTGAACTTTTGGAATATTTTCGAGAATTTACAAAACTTTTAAATGGTGTCATTTAGTGGTTTTTTTTAAAAAGTTTTACTAGTCAGTTTTTTGGAAATTTCTCTTTGTACCTGTTAGAATATGCTACAGTGAATCAGCAAACTAAGATTGGATGTGTTCCATGAGCCGTTTCATATTGATGTTTACTATATTAATCTTCCCTGTTACTCCCTTGTCTTTAAGGGGTTCCACTTTGTGACAAAATTTTTGGTTCTGAATTCGAACGTGGCAGTATGACAGAGTTTATGATTTTTGTTTATGTTGTGTCTCCATTTGTTGTGCTTAACTCCCATGTTGTTAAAACTGCTTATGGAATTGTTGATGTCTGCTAGCGATTTTTTTGGCATATTGTTTCGATTGTCATCTGAGCTTCTATCTTTTTTTGGCATTATCTGTCTTTTTATCTTTCTCTTTTTGGCTTCTAATCTATTCTCTTTGTGAAGATTGGAACTCCAATATGCGTTCCTTCACAGGATTACATAGATATTGGTCGGATTGCGTCCATTGAGAACAACCACAAAGCAGTTGATTATGCCAAAAAAGGCCAACAAGTGGCCATTAAGGTAGGCATTTTGGAGTTGCTGATCATATATTTTTCTGTTGTCATTCGTTCTGCATGCTAATTCAATTTTTATTACTGCACAATTTGGACAATGATGAGGCATATGTAGGCTTGTATAATGTGAATGAAGCAGTGCAACTTGAACAGCTAACATGCTAACTACTAGCAGAAACATTAGAAATACTGTTTGGTGAGATCAAATGTAGCATTGGTATCAAAGCCTTTCAGGTGTTTATTCGTCCAAGTGCTGCAAGTAGTGCCATCCATTGTGATATATCCTGGGTTCTACGTGCCTCTCATCATCATCATCATAATCATCATCATCATCATCATCATTATTATTATTATTATTATTATTATTATTATTATTATTATTATTAAGTGGTGTGATTACTCATCCTGTAGGAATAATAACCATTAACGTCAAAAACAGTTTTTGAACAACCTGCACTGTATAAATGATATTGATTATGTTTCTTGACCTTGTCCCAAACTTGAAGTGTTGAACTGTTGTCGGATTAATCAGAAAAATGTTTCCCCTTTGTGCTGTTTATAGAAAATGTTTTAGCTTAGCTCTCTTCCATCCTTTCTACTTTAGCAAACGGGATCATAAAATTCAAATATATTTTTCTTCATTGGACTGATCTGCATGCACATTTCCTTGTCTACGTCTAGGGCCCCACCCTTAGCTACAGTTATGTTATTCACTACTTTATATGTATCTCTTGTTTGTGTTTGCTTAATCTATGCTGTGCGTGTCTCTTGTTCAAGTAACTAACACTCCTCTTTGGGAATAGTGAATTGACGAAGAATAAAAAAACGTATACACACATTTGCATTGATTTTAAATGCTGGTGGAAATTTGTGAATAATGATCTATAGTGATTTTATAATTTTGTTCATCTGAATAGGTTTGAGTAGTCTTGTTTATTCGTTTTTTGGTGCACCTGGGGGTTTCATGGATCTTGTGTTTTATTCTTTCACAGATTGTTGGGAGTAATCCTGAGGAGCAACAGAAGATGTTTGGAAGGCATTTTGAGATTGATGATGAGCTCGTTAGCCATATTTCTAGGAGGTCAATCGATGTACTCAAAGCCAACTACAGGGTAAACAAATCCATATCCTTGCTTTTTTACTTTCACTTCAGTACTGCTGTTCATTTTCATTGCTCCCTGCTTATAAGCCACCCTTAAACTTTTACTTATCCACCTGAATATTTGCAGGACGATCTATCTACCGAGGAGTGGAAGTTGGTAGTGAAGCTCAAACATCTGTTCAAGATACCATGAGTTCCGTAAAGAAGCAAATATCCTTGGTGACAAGTTCCATAGTTTCTGAAAATTTTGAAAAGGCGGAAATTCGAGAACTTTGCAGGCAGTATTCATGGCTGGCCATATTCATCGGGAGGAGTTGGTTTCAAGTTGGATTATCACGGGGATTTTTGATAATTTTACCCTTTGACTGATGTAACAAGAGTTACTTTGTTGTATTTTTGCCCACATAAGTTTCGTTGGTTTTTAATCAGAATCCATTTTTTTGTGGTTCTTTCTTGTTCACCGTCTAAAACCTTCTTTTTTTTTTTATTTTATTAGAACCAGAGCGGTACTTGGGGGGCATTCCCTAATTTTATTAATTAAAAAGTAAAATTACACAAGGTAATGCTTAAGACGTACACCAATGGAAAGAATCGTCTTACAACATTTTACTAAAAATTCACGACGATTCTTGTACAATTACGACTATGAGCTGTCTTACAAAAATATTCTATATCCCATGATAGTTCAAATTTCTAAAACTTTATAAGCTAGGAGTATGTTTTATAAAGATTATACATTAATCCCCTGACAACTCCATCTAAATTTTTAAAACTAAAAACAGATGAAAAGATTATCTAAATCTTAGATAAGGAACAGATATCCTGTCTAAATGAGCTTTTCCGCGCACTGAAGCATGAATATCTGCCATATTACTATATTGCCTTGTAACCTCCTCAGAAGCTTGTTTAGCAAACTCATCTGCAACACTATTTGCCTCCCAAAAAATGTGAATGATTTTAGAATGTGAAATCCTCAACATGTGTTGTATACCTCAAAAATAATGGTAGTGTTGCCAAGGAAAATCCCTTTCTTTCTGTAGGCATAGTGTGATTATCTTATTGTTCGTTTGCACTTCAACGCTTATTAGTCCTTTTTCTGAACAAGCTCTTAAACCGTGATATATTCCTGCTAGTTCAGCTTCCATACTCATTGTCATACCCAAATATTTGCTTTCAGCTGCAATAATATTTCCTTGCTCTCTGCTTAAAATATATCTCCATTCCACTCCTGGTTGTTCCATGGCTGATCCATCAGCATTTAGTACGAATCCGCCAGAATCTGGAGGCTTCCATTTGACAATTTTGATTTTCTTCGATGATGGCTTTAACACCTTCACTTGGAAAAGGACATGGATTATGATTGATTTTTTCGTTGTTGAGTAGCTTCGTACGGCCTGCCATGATTGAAGAAGGCTCCACCAACTTGTATGATTGTGAGAGATGACTCCCAAGATAACAGCAAAATGGTGCCATACTCGGATGATCCGTGAACAACCATAAAAATGTGATCAATGCTTTCCTCTGTTGCTTTATAAAAAGGACACATAGAAGGATTCAGCATCAAATTCATTTTTCCCAAGACTTCTGAGAAAGGGAGCAAATGATTATAAAGCCTCCAGACAAAAAAAAGAAATTTTCAAAGGAATTATTTTATTCCAAAAATTGCTTAAAAAAGGAAAAACTTCCCCAGTTTGGCGTGTTGATTTGTAAGCTGAAGCTATTGTGAACTCCCCGTTAATAGAGGGTGTCCACACCAGCCTATCCTTTTTCTAAGTAAACAAAAGCTCCAAGTTGCACAAGTTTATTGCAAGATCAGGGGGAAAAAGACCATCAAAAACCTGCAAGAAAAAAGATTTTGATTGAAAGAATTCTCGGACTATTAATTTTGGAGCTGGTGGTAACTCTTCTTCATTCCAGATTGGAGACGACGATGTCCATCTGGCAAACCAAAAAGAAGATGAACCATCCCTTATTTCAATTGTCGTTTTTGGTAGAGCTATGTGGTTGACCCTTTGCACCCGAACCCAGCTTGTTCTTCCTTTCGAGGTATTTGATAGGGATGAAATAAACCGCGCCCAAATACCCCTTGAGGAGTTTACTTTCCACCAAAGCTTTAATGAGAAGGCTTGAATAACTTCGCGTAAGTTTCGAATATTAAGACCATTTTCCGCAACTGGAGCTGATAAATTACGCCAAGTGCGCCAATGCTTCTTGTTGCCTTCTTCACTACCCCCCACAAAAAATTTTTGACACTTCCATTCAAGAGCTGTAACAATCGCCTTAGGAGGTTCTATCGCAGCAATAGTATGGACTGGGAGAGCTGATAAAACATGCCGAATGAGGACCAACTTACCACCTTGAGTTAAAAATTTACACTTCCAATTTAATAGTTTGGCATCAAAAGCATCCAGTAAATGTTGAAAGTGAGCAAATTTCTTCCTCCCTTTAAACAGCTTGCAACCCAAGTTGGTGAAAGGAAGGCTTCCTTGTGGCATTTGGAGAGTTTGAACCACCAATTGCACATGATCCATCGTACTTTTTTCCGAGGTGTAGAAGCAACTTTTCTGTTTATTTATTTTTTGTCCCGTCGCCGCCTCATAATCTTGGAAGAAAGAGTTCAAACGTTGCATAGAGCACTTTAATCCCTTAGTGAAAACAATGAGATCATCGGCGAAACATTAGTTAGATGGTATTTTTGCACCTGCAGGAACCCCATAAAAAGCAATCTTCCCTTCCTCTGCGAGCTTTTTTAGATTCCGAATAAGAGCTTCTGAAAATAAAATGAACAAATACGGCAAAAGGGGATCGCCTCATTTTATTCCTCTCGATACTTGAAAAAAACCAACCGGGCTTGCATTCAATAGTATTGAGAACCAGCTTTGCTCCAAGTTCGAGATCACTAAGGCAACAAAATGCTCATGGAAACCGAATTTCAATAAGATACTTTGCAAGAAACTCCATGAAACCCGATCGAAAGCCTTCATCATATCCAGATTTAAGATGAGATTTCCTCCTCGAGTTGGATGATCGAGAAATTGAAGAAGGTCTTTTGTCATTAGAATGTTGTCTACTATATCCCTCCCGGCCAAGAAGGCGGATTGTTCTTCTGAAATCAATCGAGGAAGCACCTTTTTTAAACGTTTCGTCAGCAGCTTCGTAAAGATTTTATTGAGGAAGTTGCATAGGCTGATTGGACGGAAGTCGGCACAGGATGTGGCGGTCGCTTTCTTTGGAATCAATGTGACTATGGTGCTACCGATAGCTCTTGTCATTGGAATACCCCTCATAAATTCAAGACAAGCCTCCATGAGATCATTCTGTATTATGTGCCATCAGTATCTATAGAACTCGCCTCCAAAACCATCTATGCCTGGGGGACATGAAGGGTCTAAGCTGAAAACAACATCCTTAAGCTCCTCATTTGTTATATCCCGCAGGAGCATTTGATTATCTTCTGTGCGAGTGATGGCTGGAATAGTACTCAAAATGCGAGCACTAGCATTTTCGTGATCTTCCACTTCTTCCTTAGTCAGGAGTTCTTTGTAGAAAGAAACCGCTTCAACTTCAATATCTTCACGTCTTGTTAACCAGGAGCCCGTTTTCCCTCTTACTTTGTGAACTCCAAGTCGAGCTTTCTTTTCAATCAGGGACGCATGAAAAAATGCCGTGTTAGCATCGCCATCCCGCAGCCACTTTTGCCTTGCGCTGTTGAAGAAAATCATCTTGCTTCCGTAATTTTAATAGAAGACGGGCCTGAGATTTATGAAGTGCGATCCTGTCCGCATCAGTCCCAGTTTGATCATAAATCCTCTCCTTGATCAGAACTTCCTCTTCCGCGTCTTTCAAGTTCTGAAAAACATTCCCAAAATCAGATTTGTTCCATTCTTTAAGTCGCGCCTTTAATCTTCTTAGCTTCATTGAGAACCTAGCCATTCCAACCACAGCAACCGATTGATCCCAGCTTTCCCTGACTACATCAATGAAACTCTCTCGGCGCATCCACATTTTTTGAAACCGAAAGATACTTGGTCTCGTTTCAACATCCGATTTGAATTGATGAAGCTAAGGGGCATGATCAGATGTCGTTCTGCTCAGGTGATGAACTGATGAAGCTTGAAAAAGATCAATCCAACTCTTATTAAATAAAATTCTGTCCAGCCTTTTCAAGACCCTTCCGTTTTGCCGATTCCCTGCCCAGGTAAAGAGACTGCCTAAAGGTGGAAGTTCAATCAAACTGCAGCAAGTAATCCATAAATTGAAGTCTTCCATTGCCCATCCGGCTGTGAAGCTCTTTCGTACTCGTCCATATTCCTTATCACATTAAAATCGCCACCAACCATCCATAGCAGTCCATCATATTTATCATGAAAATTATGTAATTCCGACCACAAACATTGTCGCTCTTGACACAGTGACTTTGCATAAACCACTGATACTAGTACCGTTTTCCCTATTTTGTGATTCTCGACTTCAAGATGAAGAACTTGTTCTGATCCTCCAATCACTTTAGTCGACCATTCTGACGAACAAAGAACCCATATCTTTCCAGTTACAGAGACATAAGCATCCTTAAAACGCCAAGTATTTTTCAAATCTTCTATTTTTGAATCTTGCAACATAGGCTCTAATAAAACAAAAAATGAGATAGATTACTGCCTGACCAAATTTTTTAAACGTCGTCGAGATGCCTTATTCCCAACGCCGTGTATATTCCATATTAACTAATTATTCATCAGAAAATTTTGGAGACGAACCGCCATTGAGCCTCATAGATTTACGAGTTTCTTTTGGTAGTACTTGCTTTTTCTTCGTAGAACCTTTCGGCCTTCCCGGTTTCCCCTTATTATGACCCTCTTCATCAGAAACAACCATCCTCGCATTTTTGTATTCACCATGGGTAAGAGTACGTATTATCGCAGTGGCATGCTTTGCTCTTGCCCCATCTGCAAACTTTTGAGACAGCCAAACTGAAACTCCTTCCGTAATGGTTTCATCCACCTCCGATTCCGTTTCATCTTCAGATTCCACCAGTTCAGTAGCCGGATCTACTTCAACATTATCCTCAGTGATTATATTCTCCAATGACTGCTCTGTATCTTCATTTTCATCCCGCAATTCCTCCAACACAGCAAAACGCGCGGACAAGTCTACCTACGGAATGAATACAGCGAGCTGTTTGCAAGTGCTTTCCGCAGCCTCCATGTTTTACTTTTGTTCCTGCACATCCCAAGACTCAGACCTGCCTTCTTCTTTATTATTCTCCAGAATTGTAGCCAGTTGTTCTTTGGAGACCCGCCGCTTTCCAAATGACAGAACTAAAGGACTTTGATCCGCGATATCAGTTGGGGTTTCAAGCTTCTCCTTCGTCGATAATCCTGATGAAGTAGCATTGGAATCCAATTTCTGTGGAGCTTCCCTTTTCACATAGACTTTCGGCTTTTCTTTCCAGTTAGTCTGATCCGTAGTAGGCTGCATCTTCTGTTTTTCCTTGGCTTTGAAGGGAACTTTGGCAGCATCATTCATAGGCGCTCTAATTTTTCCGCGGCGACAGACCTTAAAACCATATCCAACCTTCCTACATACGGAACAATACTCCGGTAAATTCTCATAAGTTATTTCCTGATAATACGAGTGTTCCTCCGTTCCAAGAAGCACTTTTTTTGGTAATTCTTGCAGGAGATTAATCCCCACACAAACCCTAGCAATTGACGGCCTCGAGAGATTCAAGGTCGGAACGTCAATTTTGAGTGGCGTACCAACAATGCTTGCTAGCTTGCTGAGATATTCTTTGTTAAACCGATGAATTGACAACTCTTCGAAAGCAATCCATACCGGGACTATAGACGATTCTTGCTCAGTATTAAACTATGGAGTCTATTTGAGTACTCGCATAAAGTGCTGATCGAAAGAACAAAGCTCCTTGATCCAACACCGATGATAGTCTTCTTCTAGATCAAAGAGGATGTGGATATGTCTATGATCAATCTTGCTGAGTGAGAAGCTGCCTTTGAATCCTATTTTTTGGAATTGATGCCACAAAAACTCCATCTTCAGCCTCCATTTCAAAAATTTTCCAATCAGTGACAACTTGAAAGGTGCCGCGAGGTTTCATCTTCCTCCTTTGCAAGTAGGAACGCTGTTCACCCTTGTAGATAGATGGCTTCGAGTTGATTGAAAGAGGTTCTAATTGCGCTTTTCCAGAAGTACAAATGATATTCCTAGGATTTGTTTTCAATCCAGAAGTACAAAGGTTTGCCCACTAACGATACCTGGAATTGTACCGCAGCTTTAGGGTGGAACGCCGGTTAGGGTTTCCTGCAAAACAAAACTTCGGGCGTCTCTCGATGGTAGACACTCCGAAACTTAAGTCAGAAAGTAGGGTTATGTGCGTATATTGATTGATAGCCAAGATAGCGTACCTTAATTGTGGAACTTACATCCCTATTTATAGGAAGGAAGATATGATCATAGAACCGAATCCTACTAGGGTTTAGTCACATTGCCGCCCTATGGAGTCGCTCAGGCCCATCACACGATTCTTGGGCCGGTTCAACGCCGGGGTTGGATATGGACTCGTCAAGTGCCCCTGTCAAGTATTAGTTATATGAAATAAATAAGACTTGACAAAATGTAAATCTAACCTGGACCGGCCCAAATTAGTTGCCTAGCCCACAGCCCAAAGTGCCTTGGGCAGGTTGATTTGCCTAATTCGCGAACCCGCTTCAGAATCCCGCCCAAATCCAGGCAGACGTGCCCCATCAGTGCGCACGATTCCCAAATGGCGGCCGGGTAATCATAATTACCCCTTAAACTTCGCCCGAAACGTCAGTTAATGGGAGAGAGAAAGGAAATAAATCGTTTTATATTAGGAAGAGGTTTAAGACTTAGGCCACTCATCTATACTTTTCAAAATCGCAACCCCAGAACTACTCACAACCTCTCTGCCCCGGCGCACCAAATTCTGCTGTCAAGGACGGAAGTGAGTTCTTCATCCTCGCCGGAAACACTTACCGCCATACCATCAGGAAGGCGTTAACTCTGTGTCATACGCAGAACTCCGATAGAAGTAAGTTTTCTGATCCCCTTGTGTGTTTTTTAATGTCCACGTATGCCTTGTGCTTTGTCTGAATCTTGTTAGATTTGCATATATATTGGGGTAGATATGGCCGCTCAGACGGTATCTGGGTTTGCATCAACCATAGACTCTGAGGCGAAGGCTAAAGAACTCGCCAAGCAATATAACTTCCCCGTAGATCTAGATTATCGAGCACCACTGGACTACGAACGGGCAGACACTCCACCAGAGGGGAAAATTACTATGTATGCTAGATTTATGTTTCTAGGGTTACGATTCCCCCTTTTCCCTCTGTTTGGTAGGATAGTCCGACACTATAAAATTCCACTAACTCGATTTACTCCAAATTTAGTCACAACAGTCCTCGGTTTTGCGAGGCTCTGTGAATTGAAGAATATCAGACCTTGACTAATAGTGTGGAGGTATTTCTTTAAAGTCTACGTGCCTTCGACCAAATACAAAGAGTGGTATAATGTTAAAACCAACATATCGTCGAAGGCGGATCACATAGTAGAACTCTTCGATGGGTCCCCTGTATGGAAACCCAACTACCTATTTGTGGAAGCACCGAAAGAGTTCTGCATGGCGTGGGATTATCTTGAAACCCACGAGTTAGGTGTTATAGCTGATATATGGACCAGTGTCGATAAACAGAAAATCGAGAAGTATAGAGCCGACATTGACGCTCTGGAATCTTTCGAGACCATTCTCAGCTACACCAATGTCCAGCAATACATTCCCCCTGTCCGCGTCGAGGAGAAAAAAGGTACTAACTCATCTTTTGCATTTGCTTTGTTTTAGGTCATGTCATCGAGCAAAGATGCTGTTGGGCTGTTTGGTGACGCTCAGATTTTTAAAATTAAAAATTCAGATGATGAGGGGTCTGACGCAGGAAGAGAAAACTGAGAAGGCTTGTAAAGGTGTCTGACGCAGGTGCAAAGAAGAAGAAGCCTCCCACCGTCGAGGAGTCAGAAAAGCCAGTCGAGGTAGGAGTCCCGATCGAGGAGGGGAGGATCAACGACACAGCCGATCTCTCGAAGATTGCCCCTTCGACCGCCAAGGAAACAAGCCGGAACCCAATTCCAGAGGTCATCCCTGTGACGGACCGGCATCCAAAGTGGTTTAGACCGCTCGAGGCCTCGCTGGAGAAGAAGAACACGGTCGAGGACACCGATGGGTCGTCGTCGTACACTGCCGCCGCTGCCATATATCACTTTGGGGATACCAGGATTGAGTGCCCCATTATTGAAGAAGTTGCAGCGACCCTGACAGAAAAGGAGTCGTTGAAAATGGTAAGATCTATCAATCCGTAAGCTCATTTACCCTTGAGTTCCTGCGATATTTTGGCTGAAGTCTGTCGTGTATTCTATGCAGTTGACTACCGCGATGGCCAGCATACTTATGTGAGAGAAGACATTAACACAAGAATCGCGAGTTTGCAACTCGAGAAGGGGCTCCTCAAGCAAGAGAAGTTATCACAGGAGGAGTCGAGAAAGGAGGAGCAGGCTCTGAGGCTCGCTAGGGAGCAGGAACTGGCCACGGTGCAATCCATGTACAAGGAGATCGAGGCCAAGCTGACAGAATATAGGGAGTCTCACATTCCCAAATCAGACTTGCAGGGATGGATGACTACCTTTTGGGCGAGAATGGTGCTGACTGGTGGGTTGGCAAGCATCCTAGTGGGCATCAACAATGATGCCAAGGCATTGGGGGGACATGGCGTCAGTGGCCACTCTCGAGAGGATGGAGGGTGGAAGGACTATCAACGCTGGATGGCTTCAGCAGTTCATAAGGCCGCACCCTAAGAAGACCCTTCATGAGGCCATAAAGAATGGATTGCAACAGCTCTCTAATGGTCAACTCCCCCTGTTCGAGCCAATATGCAATGCCGTTGCTCAGATGGGGTCATCGACAGAGATTGCCTCCTTTGAAGGAGATGCTCTTACGGTGCTCCCTAATGATGCCGGAGAAGAGGTGCGAGTGCCGGAGCTGGCCCTAGATTTCATTGGCGTCGAGGTGGAATGGGAAGAGGATTCCTCGGAGCAAGTCGAGGGGGACGGACAGAATGACCAGGAGCCGGAAAAGGAAGGGACGTCGGCTCCTCCCCCCGTCGAGGAGACAAACGAAAGCCAGCCAAGCCAGCCCCCGGATCAGAATGATGTATGAACCTTCTTCCTTTAATAGGATTTGCCGCTAAGGTTGTAGACCTTAGCCTGTTGTAGTGATTCTCAAACTATTTTTACCGATTATAAATTAGATTAGTGGATTTTTCCTCTAACATTTGATATACTTCTATCCATTATGTCAGGATTCGTACTTCGTCCATCTTGTACATCTATTGATTCTTGAAGAAGACGAGGTTGCGAGGTTTCCCCTATATACGATGATTTCTTCGATTTTGAAGAAATTTGGGGACGTTCACAACACTGATAAAGTGAGAGCCCTCGAGAAGGAGCTTACCGATGCTGTCAACGCGCTTAACCTTCGAGCCCATTCTCGCTTGGTACAGCGCTTCAAACAGCAAGAGGAAGAGTGGAAGCGTCGACTCCACCAATATGACTTGGATTTTCATGATTCCTTGTCTCTTGAAGCCAACATCAACGAGGAGATGGAGAAGCTAAAGAAGGAAAATGCTCGACTGAGGAAGCGCGAGAATATTGTCGTGTCTCCATGATTTCTTGAAAAGTTCGACACACTTGCTCTGGTCAAGTCTCAGATAAAAGTTTGCACGGAACGTTTTATCGCCGCAATCGACCTCCTAAAGAAGAGGACCAAAGAGGCGGAGTTCTACTCGAGGCAAGCTGCTGTTCTGCAGAACATATTAGTGGACAACGAGATTTCCTTACCCATTCTCGAGGACCTCGATCCGGATGATGAGGCGAAGGAAAGTGCAGCCGCCGAGGAGTATCTCCTTAGAATCAACGACCAAGATTGGGAGATTATAGACTTAAAGGATAAGCTTAGCCAGTGTCTCCATAGGCTTAGGGTGATGGGATGTTCTGACGTTATCAAGCCTTCCCGGTTCAACTCTAAGGGGACAGATCTTAAGATTTAGGTATATAACAAGTGTATATATTGATATATTTTCCTAACCCCGCACTGAGTGTGAGGGTATTATATTTAAACCGAGCTGTATCAGCGTCAGTATTTCTTTGTACTCGAGTATGTTTGTATAACGCTTATTTGGCCAAATGTAAGGTACATGGCCCTATCGAGGAATCGGATACGGATCCTCGATTTAACAACACCGCAATCTACGGTAGGTACGAGGAGAAGTCCTCGGCTTAAGTGTCCGGATGTTGAATACATGGCTCAATTCGAGAATGACCCTATAGAGGGTGTCCATCTCGATGACTAGTCATAAGATAGTGCCGACACATGAAACGTATAGAAGAAATATGTAATGACTTTTATTAATAATTACCCGAGGACCCGGGTTAGCATTACA